CCAAATCGACCCACCCTAATAGTCAATGTTTCTACATACGGAATTTTTGCGCGCCAAATATGTACATGAGGGTTTCATAAATACATTAATGAAGTGATACGTGCATACAATTATTCATGCCGCGTGTTTTAAAAATATATGCACAAAATTAAAACATTTAAATTTAAATGAAATGAAAAGATATTGTTTGATTAAGACGACTAAAAACTGAAAACTAGTCTTATTTTAAGTTTAAATGATTACATTGAACAAAACAAAAAAATTATAAACAAGAAAGTAAGCTAGCTTCGGCCAGCCGAAGCTTATATACCCTTGCAGATCATTCCTATTAATTAACAAATCGCAAAAATGTTCAATTTTCTAATATTTCTCATTAATTTTCCGATCGTTCCTATGGCAGCTATATGATATAGTCGATCGATTTTGATCAAATTAAAATTGAAATTCGGAAATATTTAAAAAGAGTCATATCCTAGAGTAGAAGATAATACAATAAAAGCCAAAGAAGCTAGAATTTATTTCCTATTACTTTTCCATTAATTTTCCGATCGTTCCTATGGCAGCTATATGATATAGTAGTTCGATCTTTTTAAAATTCAAATCGAAATTCGGAAATATTTAAAAATAGTCATATCCCAGAGTAGAAGAAATTGTAATAAAAATCAACAAAGATATAATTTGTTTTCCTATTAATTTCCATTTAATTTTTCGACCGTTCCTATGGCAGCTATATGATATAGTCGTCCGATTTTTAAAATATTTAATTCGAAATTCAGAAATATATAAAAAATAATATTCCCAAGAGTAGAAGGTAATACTTGAAAAAACACCGAAGCTAGAATTTTTTAACGTTTTTTTTCCGATCGTTCCTATGGGAGCTATAAGATATAGTTGTCCGATCCGGTCGGTTCCGACATATATACTACCTGCAATAGAAAGAAGACTTTTGGGAAAGTTTCATCCCGATAGCTAAAAAACTGAGAGACTAGTTTGCGTAGAAACAGACAGACGGACAGACGGACAGAAGGACAGACGGACAGACGGACAGACGGACGGACAGACGGACATGGCTAGATCGACTCGTCTTGTGATGCTGATCAAGAATATATATACTTTATGGGGTCGGAAACGTCTCCTTCACTGCGTTGCAAACTTCTGACTGAAATCATAATACCCTCTGCAAGGGTATAAAAATAAAAAAAACAATATATTTACCTTATACCTTTACCTAGGTACTGGGAAATTGAAGTACCTTTACCTTACCTAGGTATTTATTTTTGCCCAATACCTTTTACCTTACCTAGGTAAAAAAACACAGTACCTTTCCCAACACTGTAGGCGAGTGATGTCTTAGGTTGCATCTAGAATGCATTCTGGATGCTGTCCAACATTGTATCGCATTTTTACTGTGGACAAAGATGCGATCCGGATGCATTCCGAAAGCCGACCACTCCAAAACTTCCCTGCAAGCATTTTCTATCGCGGAAGTCACTATTTAGTGACATCTAGAAGATGAAAATGATCGTCCGCGATATCGCATTCGGATCGCCGAAGTCACCCCCGTCGGGAAGAACTGTTCCACTACGGCGACACTTCCCGAAGTTACTTCTGAGTGAATCCTAGAAGTGTCGCGGAAATCACTTCCAGATGTAACTTTGGCGACGCTCCTACAAGTGCCGCCGTAGTGGAACATTTCTTCCCGACGGGGGTGACTTCGGCGATCCGAATGCGATATCGCGAAAGTCACTTCCAGAAGTGACTAAGGCGAAACTTCTAGAAGTGCCGCCGCAGTGGAACATTTCTTCCCGACGTGGATGACTTCGGCGATCCGAATGCGATATCGCGGAAGTCACTTCCAGAAGTGACTTAGGCGACACTTCTAGAAGTGCCGCCGTAGTGGAACATTTCTTCCCGACGCGGGTGACTTCAGCGATCCGAATGCGATATCGTGCAAGTCACTTGTAGAAGTGTCGCCGAAGTCACTTCTGGAAGTTACTCAGAAGACACTTGTAGAAGATACCTAGAAGACCCTTTCCAATTGCAAAATGGTTAAAAGAAAATATGTATATATTTTAGTTCGTCCTAAATTATTTCCCATCCATTTTTTAAGATCTTAGTCAAAATAACAATTAAAATCAAAAGGCTCTTTGAACATTCACTTTTCCCCTAATATCAAAGAAATGTATAGGCTAAGGCTAAGGCTAAGGCCTTTTTGTATGCAAAACGGGTGTCCCAACTTATACAAAATGGGTCGTATCGGGAAAAAATTATTAATTTTTTTTCTGACTGTCAAATTAAGCTGATTCTTTTTATACCCGTTACTCGTAGAGTAAAAGGGTATATTGTATTCATGCAAGAGTATGTAACAGCTAGAAGGAAGCGTTTCCGACCCCATAAAGTATATATATTCTTGATCACTAGCCGAGTCGATCTAGCCATGTCCGTCTGTCCGTCTGTCTGTCCGTATGAACGCTAAGATCTCGGAAACTACAAAAGCTAGAAGGTTAAGATTTTCCACACATATTCTTGGGCCTCCTACGCAGCGCAAGTTTATTTCACTCGAGCGCCACGCCCTCTAAAGTCCACAATTGCCCACTAACGGTTTTAAAATGTGTCCTACGCCCACATCTTTAAAGATTTCCGAGAAGTATAAATGCAATTTTGTTGTGTATATTTATACCTATCAAAATGTAGAAGACAATTTTCAAATCGGACCATTAATTAAAAAGTTATCAATCAAAATTGCTTATATATCTATCTCCCTCAGTTCAGTTTCGGCAGTCGATACGAACGGTTGTGCAATTCTTGTGTTCTCTCAAGTTATAAACCTTCAATCATCCAAAGCGAACAAGCCCCAAACCCCTCGCCTACATATTGATTTCTTATCAGCAATTGAAATCTCCAGCAATTGTCTGCACCGACAAAAAACCGTCGCGTGGTCAACTGAAGACAATATAATGCTTGACCCCCCCTGGCACCGACCCCCCGCACCCGACGGGAAGTTTCTCGTTATCTCTCGAGCTGACAACAACAACGACGGTTTCTTAGCAAAGGTATCGCCGTTTACATTGAAAAAAATTATTGATGTTACTGTTGGAGGAGTAGTAGAAGATTGTAAAAAACTTTATGACGGAAATATTCTTGTTAAAACCAAAAATAAGTCTCAAACAGAAAAACTTTTAAACTTAAAAATGATTCCCGGAGACATCCCCGTTACAGTCTCTGAACACCGATCATTAAACACCTGCAAAGGAGTAATCTATTGTCCAGACTTAAATGGAATCGACACTGAGGAAATCCTAGATAACTTGAAATCCCAAAAAGTAGTTGAAATTAAGAAAATCACGAAGTACATACAACGCAAAACAACTGATACTGGTCTAATAATTATTACATTTTCACTACAAGAAAACCCGGAATTCATTTACATCGGTTACGAACGAGTTAAGGTACGCATTTACATTCCACCGGTAATGCGCTGCTTTAACTGCCTAAGAATTGGTCATCCATCGAAGATCTGCAAATTCACCGAACTATGCCTTTCATGCACCCAACCAGCCCACATTAATTTAGAACTGGGAGAATCATGCACCAACAGTCTAAGCTGCATCAACTGCAAGGAAAGAAACATCTCCGACAGCAATCACCACGCTAGGGACAAAACTTGCCCCGTTCTCATCACCTATAAAGAAATTCAAGCAATCAAAGCTATCCAGAAAGTAAGCAACCGCAAAGCTTGGTTCATTTACAAGACCAGACACCAACACGACGGATCCCTCTACTCTACAGTGGCCAGTCGTAATCATAGCCAACCGCAACAAACTCCAAAAAACCCAACAACAACCTCTACGCTGCCACCGACAACAACCAAACCACCTATAATGGACAATGGAAAAACAAACTAGATCAACCGTATGGAAGTAACGCTCGACCTCCAATTCAATATGAATGCGAGGAAGAGATGGCTTCAGCTTTGGACACCTTGCAACCACCTACTAACGTTAAGTCTAACTCTACTACTAAAATCTTTCCTACCAAATTATCAAAAAGAGAAAAAAGATTATTGAAACAAGATTATATTCTAACTAGGTCCAAAATCAAAGCCATAGTAAACAATACCAATACAAAAACAACAGACTAAACAATTCTAAGATATATTCTAACCTTATTACATTTTTAAGAAGAAAATATTATGACAATCTCAATACTGCAATGGAACATGAACGGCTACTTAAACAATTATAATCAACTCCAACTCTGGAAAAAAAATACACACCACAAATCATTTGTCTACAAGAAACTCACCTAATACCCTCTAAAAATTTCCCAACTCCAATTAATTACAACATATATACCCTTAATTCCGTTGGCAATGCCTCAGGAGGCGTTGCTATTTTAGTACACAACTCAATTCAACCAGTGTTTAAAATGCTGCAGTCGAAGTAGCAAAAGTCACATAATTTTTCATTTTTCTTGCTTCGACTGCCTGTTGCTTTTTAATACGAGCTGTTGCTTTTGCTGCTGCTTCTGAAAAAGTCGGCAGTCGCAGTCGAAGCAAAAGCAAAATACGAAAACTGCCGACTGTCGAAACAATATTGCTTCTGCTTCGTTCGGAACAATAAAACTTTTCGCCAATCTGATTTCACAGCCGTCTATGGGCTTATTCAGGCTACCTCCACGATTTTTCGAATTTGGTTTAACCAATTTTAAAAATGGCTTATCCAACGATTTTAGTTTTATTCCGATCGGCGGTCGAGCGCCTCACAGTAATCAAGGGTTGGCCACTTTTCAGACTAATTGTTGCCCCAAATTTAACTTAAAAGTAAAAAAAAAAAAAAAAAAAAAAAAATTTTTTAAATTTTTTTTAAAAAAAATTTTTTTTTTTCCAAGATTTTAGTGTTTATTTCAGAGTCGTTTCCAGAACGTTATAAATTTAATTTATTTAAGAGAAAATTATTCTAAGTATAAAATCTTCAAGTCAGGTGAATCTAATTGCTCAATTCGCAGGTCAGCGAAACTCTAAGTTCCAAGTCCTCGTTGCCGGCAAGCTTCGCTTCTCGTCGCCGTTGACGTCGCTGCTAGTGTCGTCTTGTAGTTCTGCCACCAGTGCAGTTCTGCAATTTAGAGTAGTCGTCTCCAGTGTAAGCGGGTGTTGTTGTCAAGAACGGCAGCGGGTCTTCGTGGCTCATCGTGGTGTCGATGAGGGTAGGGGGAATAGCTGTGGTGTAAACTTATATAAATAAAAATTTGACATTAGGTACTGATTAATTACAAAACTATTAATTGGCGTCGTCGTTCTCTACTTCTTGGAAAAGTGGCAGCGTGTCTATAGCTGAGTCCAAAAAGCTTGGATTCAGTTTTACCAAGAGTATATTTTCCAAGACATCTTGGTTAAGCCGACTTCTGTAATCCGTTAGAACCAGTCTTAGGGCGGAGAAGGCTCTTTCAATCGAGACCTGTTATAAAACAAATGAATATATATAGCTATAATCTTAAATGTGTTTAAGGATTTGCATTTACCTGAGTTGGGGGTACGCCAAAGCAAACATTGCTAATTGCGTATAACTCCTGCTCAGTGCACTGTTTCCCCTTCCAAAACGCGAGGACATCCACATCAATCCTTTTGAAAGGTAGTTGTAAGTTCTCAATTTTGGAATATACGTCCAATACACTGCTAAACTGAGTTTCTACACCTTCCTCGAGGTACGCGTTTAAAAGCTCATCTTCCTCGTCCAAAAATTCGCTTTCCAAATTGCTTGAACTCGATGCAGGTGTTGAGCAGAGATTTCCTGTTGGATTCAAATCGTATAGTCTGTCCCAAATAGATTTTAAGTGACTGATTGCATCACTGCGTTGCTGCACTGTTAAAGTATGCTGGAAACGCGGATCCAAAAACAGGCACGAGACTATAAATTTGTTGCTAAACAAGGCTTTGGTTCGCTTTTCTATTGAATTTAGAATTTGGGTTCCGATTGCTTTTGAAAGCTCATGATTCGTTTCGCTTACAATTTTCTCCGTGCCAATTTTAAGCTTCAGCCATTGGGCGTAAAAATTTCCGTAGTGCAGCTGTTCTTCTTGAAATTTTTTAATTGTTTTTTGCAACGGAGTGAAGACTGCGCAATATACTTCTATAAATTCCCAAAAAGAACCATCAACTTCAAAATTTTCCTCCTCCGATTGGTTTTTGATGGACTCGATTTTGCTTACAACATCTTTTGCGTCCATTAAGTCGCTCAACATTGTGAATGTTGATCCCCATCTGGTTGGACAATCTAGGCGCGGAATTTTTAACTTTTTTAAATCGAAAATTTCCCGATAGCCATTGGACGACTTTCTTATAAATTTTGTCATGTTTCGACAATGGAGCAGATACTTTATCAAGTTCGATGCCTTTATAACGTCCAGAGCAACCAACTGTGCTGTATGTGCAGCACAACGACAGACTTGTATGTTGCCTACATATACGCTAGGAATCTTTTCCACTGATTCTATTTGCTCCAAGTAAAACGCATTTGTGGAGGTTTTCGTCTTCACGTCCATATCTTGCTCCGAAACAAACGACAATAAGTTTGTTGTTTTCAACATGTTAGCACCATTGTCAGACGTGATTGAAACGATTTGGTTCAGGTTAATACTGTACTGGTTTAGGACAGTGATCACTTCAGCCGCAAGATTTTTGGCTGTGCTGGCTCCAACTCCTCTTAAGTCTACCATTCCAAGCACAACTGATTTAACTTGATCGGCGCTTACATATTGTGCACTTAAGCCAAAAATGTTTCGAGACATCCTAGTAGCACTGTCCATTTTCAAAGAAAGTAACTTATATTTTACCCGTTACTCGTAGAGTAAAAGGGTATTGTGCACCGTGGGAATGCATAGTCAGCATTTTAGCATGGCCGCTATGCAGGCCGTTGTCAACCAAATGTTGAGATTAATAAGTGTGCATAAATATGTGTATATATATGAACATATATATATTTAATGAAGTAAATAAGTAAAATGATATATCAAGTACTTCGCTCGCTACACCTCCCCCGTTAAAAAGAATGACGTATATTTTAATGAAGTCATTCTAAAGATATCTTATTATTATTTTTGATTTTGAATTAGTGGTAGTAAAAATGAAATAAAATGTAATGAAATGAAATGAAGTTTAATTTTGATTAAAATTTATTTATATATGTATATATTTTAATATTTTTTTTTTTTTTTTTTTTTTTTGATTGTTTTAAGTTATTAGCTGTAAAAAGGTTTTAATCTGTCTTTGCTTACTACTTGTTGCTTCTTTTTACTGTCGATAATTTTTATATTATTTCTATCGTTTATACTTACGACCTTAAATGGTCCTAGAAAGTTCTTATCTAGTTTGTGCCCTGTCTCGTTTTTAAGTAAGACTTGATCTCCGACTTTTACATCGAAATTATTTACGTCTCTATCGTATAGTGTTTTTCGCTTTTCTTTTTCCCTTTCCAGCATGATTCTTGCCTGTTTGTATGCTGATTCTAACCTAAACTTAACTTCCTTAGCATAATCATCTATGTTGTATATGGGATCTATTTGATTTATTTTAGAAATATCTATAAATTTTCGAGCTGGTCTTCCGAACACTAATTCGTACGGACAATAATTATGCGTGACTGATGGTGTTGTGTTAAAACCATATGTCCCAATCACTTTTGTCACTTGAAATATATGAACGGACATATTCGTTGAATGTTCGGTGACTGCGTTCAATAGTCTCTAAGGTCTGGTGATGGTGTGCAATCGATGAGATGTTGTCAATTTTCATATATTTGCATAAGTCTCTTATTATACTGTTTTTATACTCTGTGCCCATGTCTGTTAGAATGACTTTCATTGGTCCGTAGACGAGTATAAAGTTTTCGAAGATTGCTTTTGCAACGGAATTTGCGCTTTTATTTGAAATTGGTACCGTTACTAAATATTTAGTTAAATCACAAATAATTGTGACTGCGTATTCGTTTCCGTCCTCCGAGCGTGGTAATGGACCAATAGTATCAATTAGTACCGTGTCAAAAGCTGAAGTAGGTGTCTCGGTAATAGTCATTGGTGTTTTTGTATGAGTGGTCGTTTTAGATTGTTGGCAGGTCTGACAGGTTTTTACGTATTTAGTAATTACTTTTGTCATGTTTGGCCAATAGTAATGTCGCCTTATTTTTAATAAAGTTCTCCTTATTCCTGAATGGCCTCCCTCGATTGGATCATCATGAAATTTTTTTAAGATTTCTCTTATGTTCTTTTCATTGTTTTTGTCTACTATGGTCACCTCGGAAAGTAGCGCTATTTGTACTTTTTGCAATGTACGGTTGCCCATTTCTTTAAATTCTTGTAATAATACTGACTTTAGAATCAGTGCGCTGGGTGCCAGTTGAAATTGTTTTATGCTTTGCATTCCGGCCTGTATCTCAAGCCTTTGGAAAAATTGTTTTAAATCAATTTTTCCATTGGAGTACAAATCATCAATTATAAATTGTGAAATTATTCGTTTTCCTCGTTTAAACAAACACTTGTGTTTGACGAATTTAAGCTTCACATATTTTCTGATGTCATTGTTATTGACAACGTCATAGACTCTGGGCTCAGGATACTCCTGCTTCTGCAAGGGTTCCTTTTCTGATTTCTGATCCTGATTTTTTCGTGTTTCTGATCTGGTTGTTATTTTCATTACCTGTCTGTTTATTGATTTTAAATCGTTTATTGTAATTCTGCCACGTAATTATTTTTCCCCTTGAGGTATTCCGCAGTAAAATCATATATTTCTAAATCTAGCCTCATTCTTGTTAATTTTGAACTAAGGTCTTTCATTGAAAATAGGTAAATTAATGATCGATGGTCTGTTTTCACTATAAAATGCCTCCCGTAAACGTATGGTCTGAAGTATTTTATGGCCCAGTGTATAGCTGCTAATTCGTGCTCAGTGGTTGACTTGTTGGACTGGTAATTGCTCGCCCCCATGTTCTTGCGTAAGTACCGCTCCGCAAGCGTATTTGCTGGCGTCTGTTGTTATAAAGAATTCTTTGTTGAATTCTGGATATTGAAAGTCTTGGGTTCATTAAGGCTTCTTTTAAATAATTAAATGCTCATTACAATCCGTGTTCCATACAAAGTATGTAACATGTCTAGAATAATCAGCAAAATTTTGTATGAATCTTCTATAGTAATTACGGAATGTTACGAATCTACGCGCCTCATCTGAGTTTTTGGGCACTGGATAATTTTTAATTGCTTTGTATTTATTTTCGTCAGGTAATATACCCTTGTCTGTGCACCTATGACCCAGATAGGTAACTTCGTGCATAAAGAAAGAACATTTTTCTGGATGCAGTTTTAAGTTAAATTTGCGGCATAACTGAAATACTTTTGTTAAATTGTTAAACATATGGTTTTCGGAGCATCCTATGACTACCAGGTCGTCCATGTATAGGAACGCCTGTGATGGTTCTAGACCAGAAAATGCTAGGGTCATCATCCGCATGAATGAATTTGGTGCTACTTTCAGTCCGTACGGTAACCGCGTATAACGGAATGAACCTTTATTTGTCGAAAACGATGTAAGGTTTCTAGATTTTTCGGACAATTCTATTTGATGAACTCCGGACATTAGGTCCAAACAAGAAAAGTATTTAGCCCGTCCTAACTGATCCAATATATCTTCTATGCGTGGTAATGGAAATTTGTCGGCTAATAATTTTTTGTTTATTTGTCTGTAGTCAACCACTAGTCTCCATCGTTTTTCTGTTGAATTTGGTAGGCATTTTTTTGGAACTAACAATAATGGACTGTTATATTCTGAAATTGATGGTTCGACTATACCATCTTTTATTAATTTATCGACCTGTTTGTTTATTTCTGGTTTTTCACTTTCTGCATTTCTATAATTTTTTATATATACGGGTGTTTTGTCGCTTAAGCGAAGCTGTTGTTTATAAAAATTGTTAGCTGATATCGGTTCCGATTCAAGACCGAATATATCACTATAATTTTTACACAGTTCTGACAATTTTGTTTGGAATTGAGAAGGAAAACTTAGCTTTTTTAATACTTCTTTTGTTCTATCATTACTGTATTTGGGTTTAAGTTCCTTGGGCTTTTGTATATCATAGTTTTCTAACGACTCGAATTTTATTGTATCAACATTTAAGCTAATTGTTTCAGAGCTTGTATTTAGAAATCGGATTGTTGCGCAACTCGTGTTAACCAAGGTGCTTGGAACTAGCACACCTTTTAATGGTTCTTGGCTTGGAATAAAAACGGACAATTCTTTTGAGTCAATTTTTATTGTTCTAATTACTTCTGCTCTACATGGTAGTAACAGAGTAATCTCGGAAACCGAATTGTGCTTTGGGATTTGTATAGAAAAAGTTAAGTTATTAGGTCTTAATAATAGAGAACCTTGTGAGTCTTGAAAGTCTAAAATACAATTAAATTCTTAATTGAAATCTATTCCTAAAATACCATCGCATGGAATCGGAAAATCAGGTGGAACTATTTGAAAGTCATGTGGTATAATGAAATTTTTTGTTTTAAGTTCCACGAGCGCTAAGCCCAAGGATTTTATAGAACCTTGTCCTATTCCTGTTATATTTGAAATTTTAGAACTGTCTAA